CTTCATTCAAGGTAAAAAATGGGTCACGGACCTATTTAAAGGATTGATAAGGTATATCCAACAAAAATTAACTTAAGTACCTCTCCCCCCGGGCCGAAAACACCAAAATCTCTGTGATCAACTAATTGTATACTCTTCTTCCACAGGAAATAGAGCCTAACTCAAAGCGTTTTTCCTCTTTAAAATATACAAAATACGTTAACCCCTGGAAGGTTGTAAGTTAAGCCATTTTTGACGCTATGGTATCGTTTATATCAGCAGGCCAAAAGATATCACGTTGTAGTACTCTACATATAAACTGTAACAATCTGTGTCGCTGCACTGTTACGCCTATCCATACATATTTGTCTCAATGAACACTGTGACCTTTTCAGTGGTATATTCTAGGGATATATAAAAGACCATTAAAAACCCATCCAACCTTCTACCCCACCCGGCCAGGTTACTAATCATAATTGGAAACATGTGAGTTCAACTCTAGTCTATATAGACGACAACCTTAAAAAATAGAATGAAATTTCGCTCTAGCAATAATGTTCTGTATGGCTAACACTACAAATTTCCTTAGGCAAATATGTTCATTTTTTGGTCAGGAATGTACCTGCAACTTGCAGTTTAATTAAATGCTACAAACACGGCACGACTATTCTCGGGTAGCATAATATTTTTTAGGACACAATCGACCACATTACAAAGACTTTCTACAATTCCAGAGTTCAGTCATGTCGCCGATTTCCTACTTGTGGCATTCACACTCCTTGACCGCTTCCTTTAATGTGTTAATTAAAGTGGTCGTAACGTTCTTAGCCTTAAAAGGAAGGTCTAGGTTCACACAGATTGCCTTAAGTTTAGGTACGGTTAAGTTAGAGAGTGCATCCGATTTTGCGAGCTCGCAGATGTCTTAGCCGTCATGTGTTATAGGATGAACAAGTCCAATTTTGCTGACAACCTCCTCTACTTCCATATGTCTTTCCTTTTCGGCAAGGTATGCCACTTCATCTTCATCAAGGCTGTCATCATGATCGTCGTCATCCTCCAATTCTTGTTTGTTCATTTGCCTTTTGCTGGCTGCAAGCCGTGAAAAAACCCTTGTATTTGGCTCTTCGACAACCATTCACTCCTTTGAAACTTACGCTCTCCATCAGTGTTTCTTGCTACCCGCATGTGAGCACCAACCTTAGTAGTATCGGCTTTTCTACCTGTGTCCTCACCAAAGTCAAATTTTGCTGTGAGGTAGCTTTTTACATTTCGAGAAAACCTAGCACCTCCTCCTCTTGGTTTTTGTAGCGCCCAACCCAAACCACAAGGTTCGTCCCGTAATTGTTCGCTGCCTGTTGCTTCTTCAGTGGTGAACGACAATTTTGATTCAAATGTTGTAGATAGAAACTTTGTTGTCCATCGCGCTTAAGACTGTCGTACATGCTCTCGGGACTTGCTTTCATGTCGTGCTCACCAAAATGAATGTGCTCTTGAAGTTCCTCTGCTGTAGAGAACTCACTGGAACAGCAGCACTCGGGTCACACGAAAAGAGAGTTATTACGAGCGCCTTCATCGTCGCTGGGAGTCGCCTTAATAGCCCTAGATGCCAAGGGGTAAAATTCATGATTATGAACTTCCTTTATTGATGTACGACCTTGCGTGCGACGGATAAGCTACGACCATGTAATAAGTTTACCCACGCCGACACCATACGCCTTCACAATGCGAAGCCCTTCTTCTTCATAAAAAAATTGTGGAAGCTACTGAAATTACTGATGCGGTCGACTTTTATCTCATGGGTTGTTTGGGAGACTTGGCAAACAGCAGCAGTTGTTCCCTTCACTTGCCTTGCCCTAAGCGCCTCGTGCATGTCGGATGCTGTCAGGATATCATGTCCTTATCATGTCGTTGCAGTAACAGCGAATGGCCCCCTTTATTGGGCTGATGATGCGATCACACACATCTTTGCCAAGTTGAGGTTCCGAAAAGTCATACCTAAAATTAAAATTAAAGCCGCAGCTAGCTTGGCCGTACTTTTCTAATATGATTGAACCTATATTGCAAGCGTTAGAAGGCGTTACAAGGCCTTTAAACTGTACACGTATAATACTAAGGACCACCAGAAATCTAGCAACGTTCAGCTGGCATTAGGGCTGTAAGTACTTTTTCGACAAAACTTAAAAAATACTCAGGGAAAATCAAGATATCATATATTTAGTAATGTTTTAAAGACCAGAATTTTCAAGGCGATTGCTGCAATCACCTACCAATTGTTTTCGCTAAAAATTATAAATGAATCTTAGGGTTGGCAGTCAGTATTTCATTATATCTTGTGCAGTTCGAGTAATCGTTCATGAATTATAACCTGGCCGCAACTGCGACTTGTAGTCGATGCGTTCTAAATTGGTAAAGAATAAGTTTGAAACAGGCTGCTCTAACTCAGTTTTGGAGTGAACTGTATTTATTTTTATATTTTACCGTAAGACAACCTCTTCGTTTTACTCCTACTTTTACTCCTACTCGAACACCAAGGTCGTGGACAGCAGCAATTAGATTGTTGTTGTGGTAGCAGACCGCTCCGTCCGAGCGCATGAAGGCTTGATTGACTTCTGGCTTGTTTTCCTTGATTATTGTGAGAAGATCCTCCAATATTGCGCAAACTGTGTACCAGTCCCGTGCACAGCTATCGAATAAGTGGACGTATGACTGAACCTGGAGGCCGTCATCAGCTGTATTCCCCGAAATAACGCACCTGACATGCCAGTTGATTCCTCTCTTACCGAGCCACGCGGATTGCTTTTCTCGATATTTTATCTGTAAGAATTTCCTGGCCCAATCCATTACGACCATGATCGAGTTATTCTGGAGAGATTTTAGTACATTTTGCTTTGCCCGCTCTTGGTTCTCTGCTCTTAAAATGTGAGACTTCCGTTGAAAAATATTTTCTCGGGCTTGGGCAAGGTCATGTTTGAAGTCCTCTTTCTGTTCACCGCCATAATAGTTAATGGAAGACGACTCAATCTGATTAGCGATGGACTTTAATGTTACTTTCAGTTGCTCACACTCGATACAGCGCACTTGATGTTGATGGGGATAATGTTCGCTGAGTTCTGGATCTTGCAAGTCCCTAAGAGTAAAGTATCTACAGTGATCAGCGCATAAGCTTTCTTCTTCACAGCAATGCACTCCATATTCTGTCTTGAGGTAGCACTTTCCACTAGTTTAATTGCACTTCATCGCACCAAGTTCCACTTGCGCCACAGTTTTTCTAGTCATCTACTATCTTGCGCGCACTTTCAAACGCTTCAGCGCCTCCTGCAGCTATGTTATCCAGTCCTTGAAGCGATTTTCTTTGAGAAGCTTCTCTGACTTGCAATATTCTAAACAGTGTCGATCTCGAAAGAGGCTCAAAGTGATCTTCGCTGCAATGCTTTAAATACTGCTCTATCATCGTTGACCTCGCAATAATTCTGATAACATTTGGCATAAGTAACTCTTCTCCCGAATCTAACTTCAACGTCCTGGTTCCATAAGCCACATCTTGGTAAAAGTACAGCTCGTTTACAAAAGACAGAAAGTGATCCAACGGTTTCTCAACGAACAGTCCAACTCCAACAATTTTGGCGTGTGCTCCTGTTTTTTTTATCTGTCGGTCGCCAAGCTTTTCAAATGGTTCGTGTATTTTCTTCAAGTATTGTGCTGGCTAACGAATAGCATAGATGCTGAGTATCTGGATTTTAAGGCTCCTTGATGGTGCTTGCTGATATGCAGTAACTAGTGCTTTGAGGTCGCTAGAGAAACCTACTTCCCTTCTTGATTCTTGAAATGATCGTAACAGATTATCACTGTCCTTTGGAGCAATGACGTCACAAACAGCACGACATGCTTCCTTCACCTGCTCTATGCAAAGTTCTTTTTCTTTCTTAGTCGCCTCGTCCCACTCGGAGTTAAGTCGGAAAGTCAGGGGCTCCACAGTTTTTCCCGAAAGCGAAGCAATGTTACTGAGTGCCTCATTGTGTACTTGAAGAACATCAGATTCGTTTTCAGAGGACTCACCATCCAACGAACTGTCAGGATTCATTGCTTGCCATTGTCCAAGAGACCAGGCAGGATCATTCTCAGTATGAGTTTCTGGTCAGGAGTGTAAACGCAACTCTCAATAGAAACAAGTGCTTCTTCTTTGGTTTTTCTATAGAGGGGAGTCAACAGACAATTAAGTCAAAAGAAAATTGTATTTTTTTCTTACAGAGGATGAATGTACAGTAGGTATCTAAACAAAAATTAACAGAGCTTTGAGCAGCCAATCTTTTATGTTCAAGGATATTTTTACTTTCTTAGAGTTTGTCATGCTTCCTCCTCTCGTTATAAGAGTTGTTTTTATTAAAGGAAGTGTACACAAGAAATCGTCAGAAATCAATACCTTGATAAGTTTGGTTCGGTTTCTTCCATGGTATCTGTGGTATCTTCCGTTTCAGTACTTTTCGTTTCTTTGAGCCAAAGCCATTCAGTCTTCAGTCTGCTAGCATGAAGCTTTCTACAACTGTTACAGATGGCTACAAAAATGCAGATAAAAGGGTAACAAGGGTTGCCACAGACTCTTCCCTAACAGGCATTATTGTGGTTGCTTGTTTTATACTATTTAATTTCTTTTGCTTACATCAAACACCTAAAGATGTATGGAACCAGGTCACCGGAAGCAGAGGTTTGTGCTGTTAACCCTGTACATTTGTGAAAGTGGTGAAAGGCAGTTGCTGTTAATAAAAAACTAAAACAACCTCGGGAAAAGACGATTAGAGAAGAAGAGAGACCTGGGAATTAGGTTGCAAAATTCAAGATTCCGTTACCTTGAAATCCCCCAACCCCTCACCCCGGTTACCGGGAAAGAACCGTGACTTTGTACTCCAAAACATAAATCGCCTTATCACAACAGCAAACAGAAGGAACATATCAAACCGATAATGTGACTACACGTTGTTTCATCTTCATAGTTAGTACCCTTTTCGTCTACATAAAAGTTAAATTTATTTTATATCACAGAAAAACTGCTTACGTGATCCAACTGGAATAGTAACTCCGAAATCTTGAAATATATCTCTTCCCATCTGCACATTGAAAACTCGGTCTCCTTTTACCGCTTCTTGTTTTCCCTTGTGATCAGGGTACTGGCAAGCAGTTGTTGGGCATTTCCAGTATGTTCCCAATTTTCCTCGGTGCCGAGGAAACACATTTCTGCAATACTTCCTTCGCTTAGATGAAATTGGCCCGCTCGATTCAAAATTAGCTGGTACTCGGAAATATTTTCCCATGAAAGAAAGAAACGTCTTAGGTGGCAGGAAATATCAGAGGTACATTCCAGCAGCGATGTTAGTGATGTCTGTCCTCTAAACTCTCCAGACCCAGAGCTGTCTTTGGTTTTCATAAAGCATGCAGCCATCTTTCACAAACTTAACTTCTCTTTTGTTACGCGTTTGTTGTCACTTTTTTCGAATGTTTGTAAAGGAAATGATAGAACAGGGATTGAAAATGGATCCGGAACTGAATCCATAAAAGGGCCTTTGCCTATAAAATTTAATAGAGAGGCGAAAAGGTTCAAAAGTCTCCTTGGGAAACTTTCGTTTTTGAAGGAGAAGTGATTTCTGTCAATGTATAATTTACAGAAAGTGATTTTCGGCCAAGAAAAATTGTTTCTTGTAGTAGCCCTGAATTGAAGCCACGTCACGTTTTTTCTTTTGTAACATATTTAATCCAAGAATCCAGATCCAGATTCCAGAAAGCCATTACACTTATAGTTCAGACCACGTACATGTACTTGTTGCGATGTGCTATTTTTATTACAGGCGCGTAGCTGGGGTTTGAGAAGGGGTGTTCGTACTGATACGAACTGATTTCTGAACAGCGGGAAATACTGCAAATGCCAAAGGCGGGAGCCTAGGGTTTCAAATTCCCTAGAAAATGAAATCTAGAAACCTAGAAATGCTATTATCAGGAGTCTCCACGTGAATATTTCAAACTCGATCAAGTCCAAAATAACAGGTACTTTTAGTCATAACAACAATATCTCCGTTTAACTTGAAGCATTCATACATAGTGATACATACTGGCTAAGAATACGAAACATTTTACAAAACTCGACGTGTGCTGCAATATCTCTCGGAGCAAAAGCTCAAGTCCCCCAGTTCCCCGGCTCTGATGTCTTTCTACTGAAAGCAGCGTCAAATGTCAAAAAAAACCCGTAAAATTCCGAAAACAAGGCTTTCCATGTGTAAGCCCCTCCAAATATGACTGGCCCCCCAAACTCATAACGCAAAAAACCTTCCGTTAAATCGCCCCTCCGATTATAAGCCTCCGGAGGCTTGTACTTGGAAATTGTTCTGTAGTACAAAGTAAGACACAGAAAAACAGTAAATTTCTTTCCAAAAATAACGCTAACCCAATCGATTTTGAAACGCGAATTTCCCTCCGTGCATAAACCCCTTCACAAATAAGCCCCTCAAAAGGGCCTTTGAAAAATATAAGCCTCGGAGCTTATTTTCGGACTTTTACGGTATGTATTAAACACGTATCACCTAGGTCCCCCAAAATCGTATTCCCCGCCTTTCGTCTTCGAGACTCCACTTGTCAAATCCGTAACGCCTTTTAAGGAAATATCTTCAATGGTGGGATTTTTTAACTACATATAATGCTAGGTGACTAGGGTATACTGGGGCCACAACATGGGCTACTTAACAACTCACAACAGGACTATTCCGTTTCGTAAAGCAAACTTTACAATTGTATCATCCTCGGGTGGAGGCCTTCAAATAAATTGACAACTTCGTCCAGATCGATAGGCACAGCGTACTTGATATGCATCAGAAGCCAGTGTAGAGAGCCTACTCTCACCCATGGTACATCTCATGTAATTGTTTAGCCTTATCATTGTGCTGATTGAACGCTCGCATTCGCACGATGTCACGGGAAGAGTAGCGGCAATCTTGCTCTAAAACACTCAAAGTTTGTTTTCTATTCCTCGGCTATTTGCTAAAAGCTGAAAAATTAAAAGTTTGTGTTTTTAGTCGTCCATCATTGACCTGCAAAGGGAACCCCTCGACCCCCCCCCCCCCCCCCCCCCATAGATGCGGCAATTTTGCTCTAAAACAATCCAAGTTTTTTTTCTATTCCCCGTCTTTTTTCTAAAAGAACAAAAAATAAAATTTTTTGTTTTTATTCGTCCCCCCTTTCCCCCCAAAGGGACCCCCCCCCCCCCCCCCCCCCCCCGCCTCCTCCTACGCGCCTGTATTATTCGGTCTTAAAGACTGTACACAATCTTTCAAATAGTAAATTAAGAAATTTGACAAACAGAGATATTCGTCTCATAAGAAACATCACTTGGCGGCGTGCGTGCGACCTGTCCTGACTTATTGACACTTTGACGGCCTTATAAATTTAAATACCGAAGTCCCAAGCTGCTTGTTGCTGATCTACCTATTAAAAATATGTAAGTACCTCTCATGAATATTTCCACATAAAAACGATGAAAAGCTCCAAATCTTTATGAGATTCAGTTTCAAAAAACTTTTTATGTTCTTTCTTCGCGAAATACTGATGTTTCTTTATTACTGTTGCAGCTCAGTAGTAATTTTTCAATTGAGCGATTATTTCTGGTCAGTAATTTGCTGCTTGGGATAGTTTGAAGTTCAAGAAAGGAAAAAGGCTACTTAAATTTATTCTTTTTTCCCTTTTAGATTAGCCTGACATTATCTGAAAGAACGAAATATAAAGGACAACAAAACAGTGATGAACGTCTCATACACACAGGGAAGAGCAGCCGTTGTTTATTTTGTCCATTTATACCCGCTCATGAAATAATTAAACATGGTGCAATCTAAAAATACGTTCTGGTTTTAGTTTTTAAATTTGCGATTCATTGGTGTCAATTCAGGCGAAACAATGCCCTAAAACAAACACTTTTCAAATCTTAAAAGTTATATATGATCGCGACCTCTGACACGGCGAAATCAAGTGGACCGCTTTTAGGGAGACTGCCTCTTAATGTGTGTACATCGGCAGACTAGAACCCACTTAACCTGTTCCTCTCTGTCGAATGTTTCGTTTCGTTTGCAATGTGTGGTTTTCGTTGCGTTGTAATATAGCAGAGATTGGAAGTGTATTTTAACATATGTTTGATGAAGATTGAGGAAAAAGTGTCGGGTATGGCAAATAGAGACGCGAACAGGATGACAAACATTAAAGAGGATATCTTGGAAAAGAGAGAAATGCCGAGAAAAGTTAGGGATTCTTCTTTAATTTCAGGTTCTTTCTGCTCTATAGACGTTTTAAGTTAAGTTTTAAAATTATCGTTGTTGTTGCAAATAAAATGTCGCGTATAACAGAAAATGTTTGCATTTAATTAAACATATTTTACGAATACTTAGCTAAACTGTTGGCTCGAACCGTTACATCACGCATAAAATATTTCACACCTTGTCTAATTTGCCAGCTGTTTCGTCGAAGCATAGCAGTGGCGTTTGTTTTTATTACAAACAAATCCGTAGTACGTTTCTATGAATTTTAAACTCGCGCGAAACGTGTGGGCGAATAAACAAGTTTACGCATTGCTACTCGCTAGCTTTTACTCAAATAAAAAGCAATGATATCAAAATGTGTAACTTCATTTGTACTCGATGAAATTGACAATTGAAATGTTTGACTGAATAGGTAAATCGATTGATATTGCATATTGATAACAATCTATTATGTTAAATGATCGATTCCCATCGATTATCGATTGATATTGATAATCGATGATAATTAATAATCACAAAAATTTGCGTGATCGATTGTCCATCGATTATCCATGTTGAGAACGTTTGAACATTCGTGACTGTTACATGAAGTCATGTTTATCAAGCCTCCTTTTGAGTAGTAGTTTTACGGATCTCGTGGTTCGGAAAAGTTTCGTTATTACCTTGAGGACTAAGGATTGTGGACGTTAAACTTAGTGAGATTTTCGGAACTATTTGGTGTGTACTCGTGTTTTCCACACCAAAAGTGGCGACCCTGCCAGGACTTGAAGACTTGCGTGAAACTATCTTGCATTGAGGAACACACTGACATTGATTGGGAGATTATTTTATTAACATGGTGGATCTTGCGGAAGAAAATTACAAGAAGGCACTGAATAAGGCAACCTGCTACGTCGGAGAAATTGAGGGGAAACTAAACCATGGAGTGACAGAGGATTTACGCTTGGCTTACGAGAGAATATGTGACATAAACAAAGCACTCGAGGATTCTGCGAACGGTGTTAAAGACGCCATGTTGGATGCTGATACTAGTTTTGATGAGGTAAGAAAGGGGTCAGACACCCGTTAACAAAATTTTATTCCTGTGCGAAACCTACGAGATAAACTGAAGGAGGCGTTAAGCGATTTAGAGAAACAGGAATTACATAAAAAAAGACGAAGATTGGTTCAACAAAAAGTTTGAGCTAGAACTTGCTTTAGATGCAAAAACGGCTCTACAGGAAATGATTAAACCACAGGCAGTTAAATTACAGAATTATTCTATTACACCATTTAAAGGGGATGACAAAGACTGGCTCAGATTCTGGAATCAGTTCGTAGTAGAAGTTAAATAACTCTAACATTTCTGACATAAACAAATTTAATTATTTGCTTGAGCTGGTGGAAGGGGAACCGTAGAGTCACATTCTTGGCTTACCGCACACTCTTGAAGGCTATGAAGAAGATAAAAAGATCCTAGAACTTACTTATGGTAAAAACGGTTTTCAAGGCATTAATCAAGGATTTGGAAATGCTTCCAAACATTACAAGCCTCACTAAAGTAAAAGAGATCCATGAGTTTTACAAACAGCTGTCTAGAACTGTGAGAGCCTTAAACACAATGAAGAAATTGCAAAGTGCACAAAGCTATGTTTACAGCATTATGGACAAGCTCGGACCAGTGGGGGAAGCGTTAGTTCAAAAGGATGATGAATGGGAAGAGTGGGGATTAGAGGAGCTCGTAGAGAGCCTACGCAAGTACACTGACAGAAATCCTTTACCTGAAACGTCATCACAGAACCAAGATGTCAAGAAACCTGTGGAATAGAATCAGGGAAATCAGTGGAGAAGAAGTGAAAAAATGTTTGTGTCTGGGCCAAATCAAGGACTGCCTAGGCTCCCTCCTCTTTGCGCGCCCTTTGCATACTGTAACTCTCACCAACACAGAAGTTCAGAATGTACCAAGATACTGGATGTTGCCAGCAGAAGCGAGTTTCTAAAGAAAAACGGACTTTGCTCTAATTGTGCAAAATCTGGACATGCTGTTTCCCAGTGCAAATCCCGTGGATGTGGAATGTGTAATGCCAGACACCATACATCTATTTGCAAACGAACTTTTACAACACTTCCACCCAAGTCAACGCCTCCCTCAGAGAGGTTTTATGGGGCA